CTCTCTCTCTCTCTCTCTCTCTCTCTCTCTCTCTCTCTCTCTCTCTCTCTCTCTCTCTCTCTCTCTCAATCCGTCGATACTGAGAAGTCAGGTAGCTGGAGGGGGAGGGAGAGATGGTGAACTGGAGGAGGAAGAAGAAGAAGAACTCTCTCTCTCTCTTTCTCCTGGTGCCGGTACTAACTTGTGAAGGTGGCGCCTTGCTGCAGGTACCTCGAAGACGAAGCGGGAGCGATGGCGACACAGGTAAGCTCCCAGGTAAGTCCCTGGCCTCCGCCACTCTCCTCCCTCTCTAACGCTACTCTAAGCGCCCAGCGCTGAAGACTACTCCTAGCTACTACTTCTGCAGCGCTTCCAAGAGTGCTGCTGCCGAATCCTGATAGCTACCTCCTGGACTGCCTCCTGCCTGCAGCCTCCTGGGCGGACCAGCGATATACAGTTGCTGCATACTCGTGAAACACAGTCATAAGTATGGCGCAGATTCCCAGAGCTGACCAGATAATACAGAGTTAATACAAATACAGCGGAAGACTTGAGATACATGGATTGACTCAGACCTGACTCAGACTGCAACGAAACACTCACAAACATACATCGGTGTTGTGAAAGCCCTGGCCTTGGGCACAGAAGAAAAGGCCAGGGTCTGAGATCATACACGGACGAATGGAGGGAGAGGAGAGACGAAGGAGGAGGAGAGGGAAGTTGACGTCAACACCATGAATCCAGAAATAGTATCTCGAGAGTCATAAGTAACGCAAATCCGAAATGTCGTGAAAACAGAGTCTCATGGTGTCCCAGATGTCGATCTCCCAATATCAAGATACATCTCCGGAAGTAGATGAAGTCGGATCCCTGAAGTAGTCCTCAACCAATGTCTCAATGTTACTATCTCGGCTGTCATCAGAACTCGTAACCATCCTCCATAGTCGTAGTAGTCCAGTGGGAGCGACCCAAGAGTAGACTGAGACTCAGAGGGTAGGAAGAGAGCGAGCGAGAGAGGGAGAGAGAGAGCGAGAGCAGAGGAGGAGGAAGAGGGAGGAAAGGCGGACCTTTTCTCCCTGGTACCTGGCGGTGCAGCGATGGCGCTGCAGGGCTGGGGTGCTGGGCCGCGGGCTGGGCCAGAGGGCCGGCGCTGCTCCTGCTTGCTGCACTAGCTCGCTGCTGCGCTGTTCCTCCTTGCTGCTGTTCCTCCTTGCTGCTGCGCTAATCTCTCCAATGCTGAAACGCTGCGCTAATCTTGTAGACTAACTCGTAGCCTAACCTCCAGACCGACTGTCGACCAACCTACCGACTGAGGCTGGTACCCAGCTGATATAGTGCTGGGTCGGCCTCAGTCCTACTGAAGGCCTTCGGGTCTGGACCATTGATCAGGCCCAACGGTTCAGATCCGCTTTTGAATCTGAAGAGTGGCGCCTAAACTGCGCCGCCGGCCAGTCCTACCGATGGACCGGTATCTGGCCTAACTAGCCGTTGGGTCTGGTGGGGTCTAAACGAGGCCTACCGGACCCTGGACTGAACCGACGGTTCCTAGGCCTACCTGGACCTAACTGGGACCGTCGTGACCTGGTAACTAGGCCTAAACTGTGCCTACTACAGAACAGGGCCCTAACTGGGGCCCGTGTGGTATCAGTATGCCACATAGTGCTGGCCCAGCTGGGAGACTGCTCTTGCCAATGCCGAATCATGGCAGCCCCTGGCGTCCAAGTTAAAAAAAAAGGTTATCTTGAAAAGGGCCTAAAAATGGCCTTCGCTGATCCCGGGTCTGGCGCCTAAGTTTCAGGAACGGTCGACTTCAAGAGGGCCTAAAATTGGCCCTCATTTTTAGGCTGAAACGACACAGGGCTTGGAGGGCCCTTCTTCTGCCTGGTCAGGCCCTGCAGGCCCGTGTGGTATGCAGTATGCCACACCCCCACTAGGCCGTGGCACTTTCGACCGGGACTCGGCTGTACGGGCGTACGCCCCTCCATCCATCCGTTTGGATGGGACGTACGACGATCCCCGGTACGTAGGGGGGCCTTCAGATCATGACCCATCCGCATGCAACCCGCATCACTCCTCCACCCCCCCCCTCAACTCCACATCCCATGGAAGCACACACACACACACCCTGCACAGGCTCACTCCCCCAGAATTGGACCCCCCAGCCTCATCCTTCCCATCCTACTTAACCATGGAACAACCCGTCCGGGATCCTCCGATCTGTCACTCACTCAGAGAGCCATCCCACGCGTTGGAGTGTCGTCCCTCTTGTGATTTGCTTCCAATGCTCATCCCTCCTCCATCCCTCTCATCTCTTGCCTCAGCTTCTGTCATGCTAGTAGGAGGACAACGCCTACCATAGCCATCTGCAGAAGAAAGGCAGCAATCTTTGGCCGATGCGCATGGGCACTACGCAGTAACGAGCCAGCGAGTTTCAAAACAGCAATAGCTGTACCCCTGTCGTGAAGACAGGCAACTGCAGTCCACCGATGGTGTGATCTGCACCTCGTGACTGAGCGACGGCGCAAGTCGGAAACCACCCCCCGGACATCAACATCGAAGCGCACATGGTGAGTTACGGCCGCTGCGCTCTACCTCCCCCTGTATCCAGTCACTCTTACCTTTTCACCCCATACCTGGGGGCCAGAGGATTATCACCCTCTGATGAGCCGTGACCGGTGCAAGCAGCGAAAAGTGCTTTAGGGGATGCGCCACCTCTCCTACGTTGGACGACTCGCCAACGTCAGATGGTTCTGCCATCTCTGCTCCCCCCTCGAGCTCAACTTCTTCCATCCTCTCACTCCCTCCCATATGAGATCAAGCCTCTGCCCTTTTTTTTATGTTGGACTGCTGGGCTTGATGGTGATGGTTACTTGTCAGTACGTGCCCAAAACAGAGCACACATTCTGGTGAGTGGAATACTATGGAGGTTCCCGTATTCTCGGGTTGTCCATATATGTTGGAGCATCGTTAATGGTGGGACGATGCCATGCCACCACCATCATCAGATGTCTCGTCATCATCATCAGCCATATATTCATCACCATGTGTGACACCGGGAGGGGGGGGGGGGGGGGGGGGGGGGGGGGAACAAGTTTTTTTTTTTTTTTCCCCCCGAGGCTTTCAGGATTTTGTTGCAGGATGCTTGTGCCCCTTAACCCAAACACTTCTAAGGCTTTCTTCTGAATTTGATGCACTCCTAAGCCACATTCAGCAACTACGAGTTGCAAAAGAGCATTCCGAACCTGCCAGACACAAACTTGAAAATCAGAGCAATTAAAGTGAAGAACAAGCAAGCAAATAGGCATATAGACAAGTCAGCAGGACACAAATGTAGAAAACACAGCACAACTGTTTTTTTTTTTTTTTTTTTTTTTTAATATCCTAGATGCTGTAATGACCCGCCAAAACACAGACTGAGAACACTGCTGATTTCGGAGTTCTGCCGATGGAATTGATGCCTTGCTGAGATTCCTGCATTCTGTTGAGTTTTCTAAGTCTGTGTGTGTGTGTGTGTGGTTGATGGTCTGCGTGCCTGTCTGCGTGCCTGTCTGAGTGCTGGTCGGCCTGAGTGTGTGTGTGACCCGCAAGGGTGCTTCCTTGTTTGGAAGCCCGTAGGGCCGGTACTTACCTGTGGTCGTGACATTGAGGGTTGCAGCGGGGGGAAAACACTCAAGTGGCGGGGCACGAGGCCCACGACACTTAGGGCCGTGGGAAAACACGCAAGTAGCAGGTAGGCCGGTACCACACCAAGTAGAAGTAGATGTGCCGGGTACTCGAGGCCGAGCAGAAGAAGACAAAAGTTGGCATTTTTAGAGGCCCAGTAGTTGTAGGCTAGGTCTAGGCGGGTACCTGTCCAACCAGTCTGAGTCAAGGGCCTGTACGGGCAATATCAGAGTCTGCAATGATGTTTCCCTCCGAAAGGGAGGAGGTACCGGTTACTT